GTACGCCTATCAAACGTAGATTAGGTCTTTTCACATAGTCCCACATTTCTTGGAGACTTTGTTCATTCCTTTTTACCCTTTTTTCTCTATTCTCGCCTTCACGTTTTATTTCATTGAGTTGATCTTTGACCTCTGATATCCTTTCTTCTGCTTGGTCAATTCGGCTGTTGAAACTTGTTCATGCTTCGCGAAGTTCTCATGTTGTGTTTTTCAGCTCCATCAATTCACTTATATTCCTCTCTATGTTTTCCATTCTCGTTAGCATTTCGTCAAATCTTTTTTCAAGGTTCTTAGTTTCTCTGCATTGGGTTAGAACATGTTCTTTTAGTTCATAGAAGTTTCTTACTACCTACGTTCTCAAGTCTGATTCTGTCATTTCATCACACTCGTTCTCCATCCAACCTTGTTCCGTTGTTGGTGAGGAGTTGTGATCCCTTGGAGGAGAGGTGTTTTGGTTTCTGGTGTTTTCATCCTTTTTGCGCTGGTTTCTTCCCATCTTTATGGATTTATCCACCTGTCGTCTTTGTAGTTGCTGGCTTTCAGATTGGACGTTCTGTTTGTTGATGATGAGGGTATTTCTGTTTCTTGGTTTTCCTTCTGACAGTGTGGCCCCTCTGCTGTAGGCCTGCTGAGGTTCACTCCAGACCCTGCTTGCCTGGGGATCACTTGCAGCAGCTGCTGAACAGTAAGGGTTGCTACCAGTTTTCTTCTTCTGCTAACTTTGTCCCAGAAGGATACCCGCCAAGTGTCTGTCTGATCTCTCCTTTATCAGGTGGCTCCTTGGATATGCAGGGGTAGAGAGCTGCTTGAGGAGACAGTCTGTTCTTTATAGGAGCTGAAATGCTGAGCTGTGAGCTCCATTGTTCATTCAGAGCTGCTGGGCAGGTACGTTCAGGTCCGCTGCAGCATAACTCATTAACCGCTTTTTGTTCCCAGGTGCTCTGTCCCAGGGAGTTGGGGCTTTATTTATGAGCTTCCGTTGTGCTGCTGCCTTGTTTTTTCCTTCAGATCTGCCATGCCCAGCAAGGAGGCAGCCTAGTCACTGTCTGCCTGTAGAGGCTTTGCTGGGCTGTTGTGGGCTCCGCCCAGCTGCCGAGTGAACTTCCCTGCAGTCCTGTTTATATGGATGTAGTTTCAACTGCCTTGGCAATGGTGGCCCACCTCTGTATTGGCAGACTCTCTATGTAATGGCGGGTTGCCTCGGCAACTGCGGGCTGCCTCAGTATTGGCTGACTACCTCCAGAGTGTTGGAGTGCCTCGGTAATGGCGGATGTCCCTCCCCCACAGAGCTGGACCGTCCCGGGTTCAGCTGCACTTGCTGTGAAGCTCTCAATCCAGAGAGTTTCTGATTGCTGTTCTTTTGTAGGGATGGGACCAGATGAGCCTGATCGCCTGGCTCCCTGCCTCAGAGCCTTTTTTTTTTTTTTTTTTTTAAGTTGGTGTTCCAGTTGCCTGTTTGAGGCGCCGGAATCTGTGTGTTTTCCTGTGTGGCAACTCACTGCGCTGGCTTAAACAGCGGCACTGAGATTCGTGGTGCTTTTTTTGCCCTGGAATCTACTGTCCTGGTTCCCTGTTCCATCCCCTTTTTAAACAGATGAGTGGGCGACTTCCCGTGCCTCCAATTGCCAGCCAGAAGGGCACCCAGACCAGCGTATTTTGTACGGAGAACCGCTGCGCCAGGGCGCTGACAAAGCAGCCGCACGGGGCAAAGCAGCCAGGCCGCCCAACACAGCCGCGCTGGCTGACACAGCTGCGCTGGCGACCCGTAGGGCTTCTCCACCTGGGAATTTCCTAGTCTGTGGGCAATAAAAATGCAGCATCCACTCATCCTCTGCGCTTTCACTGGGAGTTGCAATCCTGAGCTTTTCCTAAATGGCCATCTTGGATCGATCCCCCAGTAACCCAATTTTTAAACAGTGACAAGTGGCAGGGCCATCTGACCATGCTGCCCACCTGTTCCTGTTGACTTTGGAGGAGGCTTGGCTGCCGCTGCTGCTGCGGTCACGTGGGATGGGCTCAGGCCACGTCTGCCCGAGCTCCCATTGCTAAAAGGGAGGGGACAGGTGGCAGGTCTTAGAGCAGCAACACCAGCCTATGGCCTTGCCCTGCTGGGCCCCAGCAGGTTCCATCACCTATCTGTGCCAACCCTGTCAGACCCTCATGCTATGCCCTTGCCTCCCTCTGGGACCCTAGCACAGTCCTACAAGGCTGGCATTGCTGTGCCCGTTATAGATGCTCAGTGAGGTCCAAGAGTCCTGCTCTTGAATTCCAGGAATGAGTTTGTTCTGTTGCAGGTGGAATGACACCAGATGATGAAGAGAGACTACAGGCTGAGGTGAGGAGGAACAGGGCAACCTTCATTCAGTTGTGGGTATTTATGCAGCATTTCCCAGGAATGAGGCCAAGTATCATAGGGGCAGAGAAGCTCACACAGACCATCAGGTACAGCCTGCTCAGGACGGGCAGGTTAGAGGCCAAGGCCACCTCCCCAGGGTCTGAGCACGAGAGGGCTATGCCTGCGCCAGGTCTGAGCCATTATGAGAGTGTCAGAGCTCCCTTCTGGAAGGCACCACCTCCCCCCTCCCACCATGACCTTCCACAAGGTCCCCCTCTGGTGTGGGTTTTGGGGTCAGATGCTGAAGTTTGGATCTTTGCACCAAGGCAGACAGCTGTTGAGCCTTGAGCTTGTTTGGAAGCTGCCAGGCCCTGATGGGGGTTGGTGCTGTGTGGTTCTGGGGCCTCTGTGTCAAGTCTGGGCCTCCCCTGGCCGGGTGGATGGCATCCCTCATAAGGTGTGTGGTGGCCAGAGTACTGTCTTAGGAGGCCGTGGCCTGTGCCAGCAACACGAGTGTGGCCTGGGCAACTTGCTACTTTGGGCCTCTACTGATCTTAGCTGTGCTCTGTTGCGGGATCCACTTGTGGGCCTGGCCTCAGCCTGGCCCGACTGCAGTATCTTCTATTAAATACTTAAAACAATCACCTTAAAGGCATTTCCTCCCCAACCCTTGCATGCTGCTGAGGTCGGGGTCTGGGGTGCTCTCGGTAGAGGAGCTATCAGCCTTCAGGCCAGCTTCCCAGCTCCACATGCAGCCCCAGCCACCTACCACCCAAGTGCCAGGAAGCTACTTTTGTCTCCCTCCAGTCTACGTGAAAGCATCTTCTCAAATCTGCTCTAGTGTTTCAGGGTCGTGGCCCAGGGTGATGCTTCCATTGGGACATGGTCCCCAGGGTTTGTAGGCCCAGGTGACAGTGACTACCTTTGGGTCCCATGCCTGCTGCCTCCCAGTCCGATACCATGACTGCTTCCTCTGCAGCCACCACATGACAGCCAGTCTTGTGAGACGCCTGCACGACAGCCACCCTCGTGAGACGCCTACAGGAGATGCCTGCGTGACAGCTGCACTGGCTCCTCCCAGGGCTGAGCACTGTGCCCAGGGAGCAGATGGGAGGAGGCCGGCCCTGGCAGTATGTGCCACTGAGGTTCTGAAACGCCCTTCCATTTACATGAGAAAAGTCTAGGGGAGTGGTGGTTGTTTGTTGGAATTTTCATTTTTGTCACACGAGTGCCATCTATAACATACTTAATATTCTTTAAATGGATTCACTTTAAAGAATTACTTGCTGAGGAAGCTAGTGGGTGAGGACAGAGATGGGAAAGGTGGGAGGCCTATGGCCCTGTGAGGAGGGGCTACAGGGCTGGAACTGCCAGGCAGCCCAGCAAGGGGCCGAGCCTGGGGAGTGTGGGCAACTCAACGTGGGAGGTGTTCTTGGCAGGCTCACCTGCAGCTTCTGGGCATGCACTTTCACTGAATCCGCCTGCAGATCCTGGGGCACCTGTGCCACCAAGGGCCCTGCTTGCCTGGCTGTCTCCTTGGTGCCCTGACCCACAGCTCCTCTCACTTGCGTGCCACTCTGAAGAGACTGCTGCTTTCTTCTGAAACAGGCCCTCTTCTGTGACTCACTGTCCATTGTGGTCCCTTCCTGTTCATTTTCTGCTCTGCTCTTGCTTTTTCTCCCTTGAGGCCAATAAGTCCATTTCTGGGTCTAAATCCTGGTTCTGAACCCTAGAGGGGATCATTGTCCCCATGTCAACAGGAAGTAGGGCTAGTGGCATTTCTACCTCATCCGAAGTATGCACTGGGGAGGTTGTGTGAGGTGAGGCACAGCTCTTGAGGGCGGCTAGTGTCATACCCCCAACCCTGGCCTTCTCTTAAGGCCAAGGCTGGGCCCTGCAGGACACTGGCCCATGGGTAGATGTTTTTGTGAATCAGAATTAGGTGCTATTCTTCTCTTTGTGTGGAGCATGGATTTGATGGAAAAAGGGAACATAATTGGGGGAGGTGGGAGCCAAGTCTCTGGACAGAGTAGGGAGACTAGTGGCTTACTGAGTTTTGGGAGACATTCTAGGGCAACAAGGTATCTTTCAGAATTTGATCCACGGCAGCCTTAGGCAGATGTTTAAGAATACAGGCTTGTATCTGGAATTCGTTTTTAAGGTCTGCTAGCTGTCCAGGGTCATGGGTTCATTTGCACAGGTTCCTGCACATTCTGCTTTTATCCCTTGGGGCCCCAGGACACATGGGATCTCTGCTCAGTCTCTGTCTTTAGAAGGAAGCTTCAAGCTGGGCTATCAGAGCTGATGGTGAACACACAATGATTGTCCCCTGGCCCTGGACGTCTTCCTAAGAGTCCATGTGCCTGCTCACTCTTCCTCTGAGTCTGGAAGTGCGTCGCAGTGTGTTCCTCTGGCTCCCAGAATCTGACATCCGTTTCATCTCGGAGGAGCACATCCTGAATAAAGGTTATTCTAATTTTAACAGCAGGAAATGCTAAGCTCAATGGTGAACAAGAAAGGCCATCTCTCCGCAAAGCCTAATGCATCTTAGGAATGTGTGACAATTTACTTTTTGTTTTCATTAAAAAATGTGTTTTTAGAGGCAGGGTCTTGCTGTCACCCAGGCTGAAATGCAGTGGCATGGTCAGGGCTCAGTATAACCTCCAACTCCTGTGCTCAAGTGATCCTCCTGCCTCAGTCTCCTGAAGTGCTGGGATTACAGGTGTAGGCCACAGCACCTAGCCGTTGAGAAAATTTAAATGGTGATTTTTCCCTCAGTGGCTCTGACACAAGAAGCAGACAGGAGGAGATGGGGTGCAGGCTCGTGGTCACAGTTTTTCTCCCTTTAAAGTGTTTTCAATTCCTGAGGCCAGTGGGGTGAAGGATGAGAAACAAATCACACTTAATCCTCTAAATAGTGGTTAATTCTCATAATTAACCAGGTGTATTTCAATTTGGTTTTTTCGGGGTGGGGGATTGACAAGTATTTCAGTTTTTAAGTGTTTTTTTAATGATGAAAAAAAAATCTACGCAAAAGCATTTAGTACAACGGACACCCATAAACGCAGCTACTGAGATTCAATAATTGTCTTAATTGCTTTGTGTGCATACATATCTGACCATCTAAAAGTAAACTAGACACCATATCACCCCCAAGTACTTCAACATGTATTTCTGAAGAGACACACTTAACAAAATTAATTTTCTATATCTAACACACACACACACACACACACACGTTCCCACACCTTTTAGCTGCTTTTCTCCCTGCCAATCCATGATCATGTATCATATGTGGTGGTTCTGTCTCTGAAATCTTTCGATATTGGAAGCAGGAGCCCCTGTGTCCCTTCCCTCCCAGCTTTTCCTGAACACACTGTTGTTTGTTTGAGGTGTTTAATTCACTCCTGCATCCTGTGCACTTACTGCAAGCAAGAAGTTGGATCTAAAGCTCGGTTCATCCAAGCTGCTGCTTTCTTTCAGGGTAGCTCCTGGGCCCCTGTGCACAGCAGGGCCACGTAGTGTCTGACATCCATGATCAGTGGTAACATTAGGCTCAGGTGGTAACAACTGGATCCTTAATCTGGTTCCCTGTATTCCTTAAGCATTTCTCAGTTGTGCCCTTTTTATGTTCTCCAGAGCTGTGTCCTGGCACCTATTCTGCGGACAGAGAGCCAGGGCAGGTACCTGCCATATTCCCTCTCAGGTCCAGAAAAGAGGTCACAGCAATGAAAATGCAGCTGAGACCATTTGATCTCCCTCAACACAAATGTAAGTAGCTTTATGGTAGGCACTAGTAAAAAAATTTCCATGGGAATTAGAAACAGCCTAACCACCTAGAGATCAAAAGACAGTTTTGTTTCCACGCTACAGGGATCCTGTGAGTGTGACCTACGTCACAGCCCATCGCCTTCCCCTCACTGGTTCCTGAATTGAGGAGGAAGGAGAGGCGAGCTTGAAATGAAGTCTGCATGAGTACACATCGCTCACGTAACAGCTAAGATCCACAGAACGCCTTGCTTTTTCCTAAGAGGTGGCATGACTGTGTGGCCTTTGGTTATAAAGCTGTATGAAACTGAGTAAGTCAAACTTAATACAATTCAAACTTAAAGTCAGTGGAACTTTACTCTGGAGTCTCCAAAAGGGAGGCGGGAAGGAGGGGGAGGGGACAAGGGTTGAAAAGCTACCTTCACTGTTTGGGTGATGAGTTCAAAGGTAGCCCAAACACCACATCATGCAACACAGCCATGCAGCAAACCTGCACATGTGCCAACTGAAACTGAAATTTAAAAAAGCATTCAAAACATTGACTCTTGGAAGGAATGCAGCTATGCACCTGTAGTCATAAAGTATGCAGCGGCAACCTCTGCCTTTCTTTCCCTATAAACGACCAAATGCACCAGAGACAAGGACCCTGGGATCACTGCTCCCTCACTTTGTAGAATGCAGCCGTTGTAATGGGCCACATCACTGTGGCACACATATTGACATCTCAGCCCCTCCCTGTAGGAGCGATGCCTTAACTTTCCCACTGGGGAACACTGACCCTGTTTGTGTGGAGCCCGTCCCCCTGGTGGCCGTCCTGAAGTTGTGTGCTCAGATGCACTTGAGCCTTCCCCATATTTTCTAAGCCTCCTCTTTTAAAGTTGACAGCTGATAAACTTGCACCAGCCATCTCTAAGGTAGATCAGAGTCCACTGCAGCGACCAACTCTGTGTAGACATAGGGACCCCAGAGAAGCGCTTGTCTATGTACAGAAAAACTGGTTTACTAAATAAGCTGGTGTTTTGAAATGTGACACTTTTACGTTTTTAAAGGGAAAACAGTAACTGGGGAGCGACTGAACCTCCAGCTTTCCAAACGCGTGGCTATCCTTTCAGCCACACGTGTGGCACAGTGTGTGTGCCATCAGCTGGAAGAGCAGGGTTTGGGGAAGGGGTTAACAGATAAGGAGCATGAATGACGCTGAGCCTGTCGGGGGGTGCATGGGCAGTCCTGAGCCGGGGTTGATGCGGCTAGGGCTTTGTCTCCTCTCACCAGCAGGTGAGTGTTACTTGGTATTACAGGCCGGCCTCCTGCTGGTGGGCTTGTTTTCTCCTGGCACGTGTGACTTGGGAACATGCGGGTTTCTTCTGTGCCTTTCTCGGACTCAAAGGCTGGCTTCATCACCACCGAAGGGCTTGTTACCTTTACGAGGTATTTCAGACTCCCCACACCATTCTCTAGGTTTTGGTTACTATATCTCCAAAACCTGCTGTTTCTTGGCAAATCTCCATCCACCAGGTTTCTGATTATGTTTGAAGGTTATCATCATCATCATGCTGGCATCTTTGTCTTTTGGTGACCAACTGTTCTCTTACCAGTGTCTGTGAGTGGTTTCATCTCTTTCAAGTATGTCCATCAGTAACAGTGACCTCCTTGTACTATAAGCCTATCAATTTGAGTGGAGACATTTAAATATTTATATATTTTTTGAGACAGGGTCTTACACTGTTGCCCAGTCAGGAGTACAGTGTGGCACGATCAGAGCTCACTGCAGCTTCCACCTCTGGGAGCTGGGACTATAGGTATGCCACCATGCCTGTCTAATTTTTTTTGTGTGTTTAGAGATGAGATCTTGCTATATTGCCTAAGCTGCTCTTAAACTCCTGGCCTCAAGCAATCCTCTGGCCTTGGCCTCCCCAAGTGCTGGGATTACAGGTGTGAGTGACTGCACCTGCCCCCATTTAAGTATTTAGAAATTAATGTCTCAGCATGTTTTTTCAGAGTTGCAAAGATATTTTCACTTACTGATAAAGGTTTAGTAGAATTTTAGCTTTCACAACAAGTGATGATATTGATCCCTTTGGCATTATATCTGTTTAGAATTTTAGGAAAATATGATTTTAAAAATTAAATTTACATAAATTATTTTCAGGGAAGCTGAACAAATCTGGATGGGATGGGGTGATAGAAAATACCATTTGCTTTAAGTTTTGAGAAGCAATTTTTTTATTCTTTGGAAACTAGGGTTTAAGAAATCTCTTCTCCTTGGAGACTTTAAAACTAAAACTGGTGCTATTTAAGACAGAAGGAAATGGTAAGAATTTTCCAAGGCTCATCATGAAGATACACATCTTTCCCTTGAGAATAGAGGCTAGAGAACTGCAAGAAGGCAGTTCCCTCTGGAGTCTCCTTTCCTGGGAGATGCAGCTCCACACGGGTGAGTTTCTGGACAAAAGGAGAAAGGAGGGTGGTATGTGTCCTAATATTTAACTGTTTATTTGGGATCATGTTATGCATCTTAAAAAGCAATATAAGACAAAATGTTGGAAAGACATTTCAAAATAATTACCTTGAAGTAATTCTCATAATTCATAGGTAACATTTTTGCGTATTTTGCCTTTTTAAAAAACTTTCTACAATGAAAACACATTATTTTTACAATAAAACAGTAACAAGTACAAAAAGTAACGTTTACAAACTTTTAATGGAAAATACCAAATAGATACAAAAAAGACAAGTGTAAATTGGGTTGGCAAGCTATAGCCTACAGGCCAAATTTGGACCACCACCTGTTTTTGCACAGCCCATATGTTAAGGATGATTTTTAGATTTTTCAATGGTGAAAAAATGTAAAAGGGTAGTATTTAATGACATATGAAAAACATGTGAAATTCAGACTTCAGTGTCCATAGAGTTTGACTGGAACACAGCCACACATACTGGTGTGTGGCTCCCTGGTGGCTGCTTCATGCTACTACTGCAAAGTGGCAAGACATGGCTGGAAAAGCCAACTATATTTACCATCTGCTCCTTTACAGAAAAAGTGTTGTGCCCTGCTCTACATCCTGATGTGTACCTATCCTTGCAGCCTCAAATTCCCAGCCAATCTTGTTTCATCTATACTTACTCCCAGCCCCACAGATTCAAAGGAAATTCCAGACGTCCTATAATTTCATCTTCATGCTGCTGACATTTAAAAGTTGAAAACTCACCAAGAAGATGGAATATATATGCACAAAACATCAGAACCCCAAAATACATGAAACAAAATCGAAGGAAGAAACGGACAGTTCTATAGTAAGAGTAGGAGACTTCAATAGCCCACTCACAGTAATGGACAGGACAACCAGAGGATCAGTCATATGACAAAACTTGAACAGTGTCGTACCAACTGGACCTGACAGACATATACAGAACACTCCACCAAACAACGGCAGTACACACATTTTTCTCAAGTGCAAATGGACCTTTCTCTAGGACAGACAGCATGTTAGACCTCAAAAGACTGAAAAAATAAAAATTATCTTTTCTGGCCACAGTGGGATGAAACTAAAAATCAGTAACAAGAAAAAACAAAAAGTACACAATTATGTGAAAATTAAACAATACTCTCAGCCAGTGGATTAACAGAGAAATTAGAAAATATCTTGAGATAAATGAAAATTTAAACCTATCATACAAAAAGATACAGTGAAAGCAATGGTAGGGAAATTTATAACTGTACATACTTAAAAAATTAAGATCTCAAGTCAACCCTAAATTTACATCTGAAATAACTAGAAAAAAAAGAGCTAACAACCCAAAACCAGCAGAATGGAGGAAATTAGGGCAGAGACAAAATAGACAACAGCAAAGCAAGAGAGAAAAATAAATGAAACCAAGAATTTGCTGGGTCAACCCAAACTGACAAACTTCTTGCTAGTGTGACTAAGAAAAATAAAACCAGAAGGAGGGGACGTTACAACTGATTTTACAGAAATAAAAGGTATTAAGGGTACTATGAGCAATTGTGTATCAATGAATTGCATAACCTAGATGAATTGGACAAATTATTCGAAACACACAACCTATCAAGATTGAATCATGAAGAAATGGAAAATCTGAAGAGACCTGTGGTAGTCAAGAAACTGAATTAGTAATGAAAAACCTCCCAACAAAGAAAACCCCAGGGCCATATGGCTTCACTGTAGAATTCTACCAAACATTTGAAGAATTATATCAATTCTCCTCAAACACTTCCAAAAAACTGAGGCAGAGAAAAGCACACTTCCAAATGCATTCTATGAGGCTGGCGTTATTCTGATACCAAAACCAGACAAGAAAAGAACACCACATACCAGTATTCCTAATCAAGATTTTTGTTACCGACATTCAATAAAATACTGGCCAGCAGGATTCAATGGCACATTGAAAGGATTACACATCATGGCCAAGTGAGATTTATAGCTGGGATACAAAGAAGTTTCAACATGCTCAAGTCAATAAATGTAATACACATTATATTAACAGAATGAAGGAGAAAAACACATGATCCCAATTAACGCAGAAAAAGCATTTCACACAGTCTCACGCCCTTTCATGATAAAAACTCTCAACTGGGAATAGAAGGAAACTACCTCAACATAGTAGAGGCCATATGAAAATCCCACTGTAAATATCATATTCAATAAGACTGAAAGCACATATTTTAAAATCAAGAACAAGACATAAATACCACATCTTACCACTTCTATTCAACACAGTACTGGAGGCTTAGCAGAGCAAATAGGCAAGAAAAAGAAATAAAAGGCATCCAAACTGGAAAGGAAGAAGCAAAATTATCTGTTTTCAGATGACATGATCTTATATGTAGAAAATCCTAGAGTTCATACATATACAAAAAACCTGAATAAACAATTTCAGTAACATTGCAGGTTACAAAATCAACATAACAAATCCATGATATTTCTACACAATAACAAGCAATCTCAAAAGGAAATTAAGAAAATTCCATTTATAATAGTAACAAAATAAAGGAAGTAATTAGGAATAAACTTAAGGAGGTAAAAAACTTGTACACTGAAAACCAATAAACCATTGCTAAAAGAAAGTAAAGTCAACACAAATAAATAGAAAGCAATCTATGTTTGTGAATTGGAAGCATTAATATAGTTAACATGTCCACAGTTCAAAGCGATCTACAGATTTCATGCAATTCCTATCAAAATATTCCAGTGGCTTTTTTTTTTTCTTTTTTTGCAGAAATAGAACAATCCATCCTGAAACTCAGGATATCTCCAGAGACCTCACACAACCAAAACAATCTTGAAAGGGAACAAAGTAGGGGCTCTCACATCCTTATTTCAAAACTTATGACAAAGCTACCTGCAATAATCAAAATGGTGTTGTACTGAAACAAAGACAATCATATAGACCAATGGAACAGAATAGCAAATCCCCAAATAAACCCTTCCACTTACGGGTAAAATGATTTTTGACAGTGCCAAGACCATTCAAGGGAGAAAGAACAGTCTTTTCAACAAATGTTGCTAGACAGCTGGTCTTCCACATCAAGTTGGATCTACCTCACACCATATGTAAAAGTTAAAATGGATCAAAGGCCTAAACTAAGCCAAAACTAAAACATTTAGGAGAAACATAAATTTTTTTTTTTTTTTTTTTTTTTGAGACGGAGTTTCGCTCTTGTTACCCAGGCTGGAGTGCAATGGCGCGATCTCGGCTCACCGCAGCCTCCGCCTCCTGGGTTCAGGCAATTCTCCTGCCTCAGCCTCCTGAGTAGCTGGGATTACAGGCATGTGCCACCATGCCCAGCTAATTTTTTATAGTTTTTAGTAGAGACGGGGTTTCACCATGTTGACCAGGATGGTCTCGATCTCTTGACCTCGTGATCCACCCGCCTCGGCCTCCCAAAGTGCTGGGATTACAGGCTTGAGCCACCGCGCCCGGCCAACAAAATTTTAACAATGGATTTGGCAATAATTTCTTAGATATGACACCATAGCCACAGCTAACTAAAAGAGAGAAACAACTGTGCATCAAAGGACAAAACAGAGTGCAACCAGTCCATGGACTGGGATAAAGTATTTGCAAATGACATATATGATAGGGGTGAATACCCAAAACATATAAAGACCTCTTAGAACTCAACAATAAAAATGCACACCTGACTGAAAAATGGAAAAAGGGCCTGAACAGACATTTCTCCAAAAAAGACATATACATGGCCAACAAACAAAGATAATCAACATCACTAGTCATCAGGGAAATGCATATAAAAATCACAGTAGGATACCACTTCATACTCAATAGGACAGCAATTATTAAAATAGGTGTTGTTGACAAAGATGTGGAGAAATTGGAGCCTTCAGTGGGAATGTAAAATGGTGCACCCACCATGGAAAACAGTTATAGCAGTTCCCTAAGAAACTAAACATAGAATTGCCATATGACTGAAAGCAGAGATTCAGATATTTGCACACCCATGTTTACAGCAGCAATATTCACAATAGCTAAAAGGTGGAAGCAACTCGAGTGTCCATCAACAGATGAATGCACAAACAAAATGTGGTCTATCCACAGAACAGAGTGTCATCAGCCTTTAAAAGAAATCCTGACACATGCTACAACTTGCATGAACCTTGAGGACATTATGCTGAGTGAAATAAGCCAGTCACAAAACGACAAATCTCCTCTGATTCCACTCAGACGAAGTCCCTAAAGTAGTCAAATTCAAAGAGACAAAGTAGAACAGAGGCTGCCAGGGGCTGGTGGATGGGTATAGGGAGTTGGTGCTTAATGGGTACAAAGCTTCAGTTTCACAAGATGACAAAAGCTTATCTTGTAAATCTGAACTTAGGGATACATAGTAAAGAAGGCTGCACAATATGAATGTATTTAATGCCACTAAACTGCACACCTAAAATGGATAAGATGGTAAATTTTGTGTGTATTTTAACACAAGTTAAATTCTTTTAAATGACATTAGAATTGACTACATAGGTTAGATAATAAAACCAACTTGCCTTTATCTGTGCAAGTTTCTCAAATGATTATCAAATAAAAATGAAATTTCCATGCAAAAATGAGACAGTTGAGGTATCTCTCTTATTTGATATAGATGCCCTCATTTTTTTTTCGCTTGCCCTTATAACAACAAGAACATTTCAAAGGAACCCACTCCTCAGTGAACCCTGGTTATGGTGCAAAAGCTGGCGCGAGACCCCTGTGGCACCAGCAGCACCTTCTCCCACTTGCCACTCCAGCTGATGCTCTGGGCATCTCTCTTGTCACTCTGTGGATCTGAGCCAGTGGGGATTGGAAGGGAGAGGACCAAGGACAAAAAGGACAACTGGGAGGGCTATCGGCCTTTTCTAGGCGCTCCTGTGAAAAGCAATGGCAGATCCATGTGGCCTGTATCCAGGCACGTGCACTGGGGAGCAACTCCCTCATCTCACGGATGCTGAGGCTGGCAGTGACAGCAGCCATGTGCCCTGCCTGAGTTTAGAGAGGACTGCCAGGGGTGCGTATGCAGGTGCCACGTCACCACCTAGAACACACTGTCTCATGCTGTGAGCCAGGGCTAATTTTAGGCAGACAGCAATGCAGTTCCTGCTGGAATTTTGGAGGCAGAGGCTACACTTGGGCAGCTCCTACTAGCTCGGTAGAATTTAGCCCATGGGACGTGGGGCACAGTGCTTTTCAAAGTTGAGGGTCTGCTTCCTCTATGCAGAGACAACAGGACAAGGAGTGGGGCTTGAGTGAAGACAGAAGCAGCAACTGTGTTGGGATAGACATGGATACAGGGAGGTTGAGAGCAGGGTGGATGCTGGTGTCAGCCATCAGAGGCCCCAGTGGCTGGTGCTGGTCGGTCATGGATGCAGGTCCTTGTTTTTCCTCCTACTTGTTGCTAATCCCTTGGCTTTGCCGTTGGGTAGCATTTGATATCGCACTAGATGGGGACTAAAGGGAGGTGAGTGGTGTCTAGCACATGCACACATCATAATGAAGACAGGGAGAATAAAGTCAAGCCAAGCTGACTTCTGCCTTTTAAAATTGCGATTTTCAGAGGGCAACACCCTTTCCTTTTGATAATGCTGGAGGTAAGCAAAAGAGACTAGGTTTCACAGTCCATTTATCTATTAGGTTACGCCTTCACAATGAAAAAAAGTGTTAAAAGACATCTCTGGAAAAAAATGGTCTTATCCTCTTAAAGGGTAATAAGACAAACACATTTCCAAAAGGGAAGATAACTGAAGCTTCTCAGTTACTTCAAATCTTATATGGAGTTCTCTCAAAGAAGAATTAACAAGAAACCTTCATAAACTCTTTGAAAACACAGAAGAGGGAACACTTTCTAAGCTTATCCTAAGAGACTGACAACAAAACGGAAAAGATCACAAGGTGGGTGGGGAGGCGGTCCTGGAACCAATCCCCTGCAGATACAGAGGGCTGTTACAGGACAACAAATCCAACAGCTGTGTATAAAAGATATCACAAACCATGACTTAGTGGGCTTTGGCCCAAGAATGCAAGATTGGTTCAAGACATAGAAGTCAATGTAATAACAGCACATTGATCTTATGAAGGCCAAAAACCACATCTTTTTCAAGAGATGCAGAAAAGGCATTTGACAAAATCCATCACCCTTTCATGATAAAAACAACTAAGAATAGAAGGGAACTTCCCCAACCTGCTACAGGGTATCTATGGTAAACCCAGGGTTAACATCGTAGTTAATGGTGAGACTGAAAGTTTCCCCTAAGATGAGGAACAAGACAAGTATGTTTGCTCTTGCACTGCTATTCAACACTGTACTAGAGATTCTAGCCAGCAAAGTGGGGCAAGAAAGAAGAAGAAGTGAAACTGTCTATTCGCAGATGACATGATTTTGTACATAGGATCATAAGGAATCTACAAAGGTGTTAACAGAGCTGACAAATTATTTCAGCAAGGACGCAGTATACAAAAATCTTATGAGAATTTGGTTCAAAAGCAGCATTTAAGGCAAAAATTGTTCACAGATCATTAAATTTTTTCCATGAAGTAGACAAGATTTTGTGTACAGCCCTGTATAGTACACACATACAGTACATACACAGATGCTGTACATCATGCAGTAAACTATGACAGCTACACCTAGGTCTGCTTCAGAGAGCTGCTCGGTGGCTTTCTGATTTGTGTATATTCATAGATGAGGTGAGGAATGTGACTTTTTGACTCTCAAAATAGGCAAAAGGAAG